CAAGCATCCAATAGTGTTGTCCCCTAATGCGGATTAACTAGGCGGGACCACCTATGGTAGTAATGTAACCAAGTAGGCAGTGAACCCCCAATGCGTTTTAACTAGGCGGGACCACATACATGCCTTTAATAGTGTGGTTCCCCAATGCGGATTAACAGGCGAAACCACCTATGTAAATGATGTAACAAGGTAGGCAGTAACCCCTCAACGCGAATTAACTAGGCGGGACTATATATAGGCATATACATAATAGTATGGTCCCCCAATGCAAATTAATCAGCCGAGACCATCTATTTACCACTGCTACATGGTGCAGTCGCATCATCACACATCATACATCCCAATACAACATACATCAATTCAACATGAATCACAATTGTAAACATATACATTATCAAACCAATATTCAGTCACATTCAATAGAATATTTCTAATATGGTCCATGATCCACCTACCCACCAACAATCAACCATTTCCAATACACTCATTTAAAAGTACAGTAGACACATAAATCTTGGTAAAGTACCTTTGCACACAAATCGAGGTGCACAACTTCTGAGATGACACACAAACCAAGATAGGCTCTCTAGGCTTTATTAGGTTTCTAGTAACTCTAATTCAGCGTGTAAAAAGAATTAGGAACATATTGTCCAAAAGTCAATAAAATATGGAGAGGTTAATGGAGATTGTTTTAGCAAGTGTATTGACCTTAGTTGGATAGGGATGTTGTTTTTGTCGACCTTAGTTGAGGTGGATAATTTTTTAAATTGGACTAGTGCAAGAAAATGAAATGACCATTGACATATGCCGAAATATAAATATTGGCCTAAATTTTATTTTTATTTCTTTACAACAGATTGGGGTGAGGTTTTGGGTAACTCTATACAATGAGCCATTCATTATTAAGTATTAGACTCACAATTTATAGAGTTAAATTTTAAAGCTATCACTTGAGTGAAACAAAAAATAAGTAGACTGTAATATTAATGACATAATCTCATAACTTCTTATATTTTGGTGAACCAAAATCTTTTTTTTTTAATTTTTTTTAACAAACGATATTATCTACACTAAATGGGAGGAGGAGATGAGCTTAGTCTCACAATAGGCTAGCAATTATGTGGCTTCAAGTTCACCTTTGGTGAGAATCGAACCTAGCTACTTTTACTTACAAGTGAAGAGGAATACCACTAGACCATAGTACTAAATGACTGGTGAACCAAAATCTTAAATCTTCAAGAAACTATAAAGTAAAAATACAGTCCTTACAAGCCCATCCGCATGCATATATAGTCCTTAATACAAGGAAAGGGCTCATGGATATGGCTCCTCATCCAAAGTCATTGGTGGTTTTGCAACATATAATTGTCCATTCTGTTATTCTGCTGAATAAGTTGTTTGATCATGTCCTTAGTAGTGGCCTCGCTAAACGAAATTGGCCTTGCCATGGGCTTCAAATTCATGGGTTAAGTTTCTAGTTGTGTGGCCTTGATAAAGGTTTAATTGTTACTTCTAGTTTTATTCAGTAGAAGAGAAAAAAAAAATCTCAAAAGAAAATCATCATTCAGTCTGCCATATATACTACAAGTCGTATTTCTACACTTAGATGTCGAAAGTCTTTTTAATGTCATGTATTTTTATCTATAAATGACTTATTGAGCGACTTAATTCAAATTTTTCGTCTCTTAGAGTAAATTATCATGGTATTGATAAAAAATAAATTAACTCATTAGCTTCATCACACATGTAGATTACAAGAGTCATAAGAGTGTAAAAGAAGAAGAGGATGCCCATGAACTTTTCATTTCTTTTTTTCCCCATATATTTCGGTTATTGCATTGGGAATAATTGGCTTGAAAAGGTATAAATAGTATCCCGAATATATGTGTTGAGTGCGGACCAATATTCTAGTACCCTATTGAAAAATTATTCGAAGCTCATGAGGGTGTGAGATTAACGAGAGTATAAATCAAAAACTGTTTGATGGTAGCTGTGCTCTACTTAGAAGCTATTTGATAACCATTTTGTATTTTATTTTTTATTTTTTGAAAAACTAAAATATTGCTTGGTAACTATTTTCAGTTTTTAAAAATGAAATCTAAAACTGAAAACTCAATGTCAAATTTTAAAACTCAATAAAGTAATTTTCAGTTTTTATTTTTTATTTTAAAAAAACTGAAAATAGTTACTAACAAGATTTCAGTTTAAAGGGAAAACTTAAAAACAGTGGTTATCAAACGGTCCCTTAAGGATGAAAATAGTACTTAAAGGACAACCAATCATCCAATCAAACTTCATAATCAAAACTGAGATGTGATCAATATGGTGTTAAGATTTTATCGCTATAGTGTTATAGAAGACCATAACACAATTATAAAATGTTTCAATGTCATACTGTAAATTGAGACCACTGATAATTAAGTTGATTATCGTCAATATATTTTATACAATTCACAGTCATAACATGATAGCAATTTTTGTTACTTGATCGTACTGCAAGAAAACATGACTCAAACATGCATTGAAAAATCCTCAGTTATAATTTAAATGTGGAACATCATTAAAGGATAACTAGAATTATACCCTTGTGTTAACCATAATTGTAAACAATAATTAAGGTTCGTCATTCAGACCAATACTTGCCATGCAAGACAACATTAGTTCTACATGCATGATACGATTTATATGAATCTGCCACTCAGTGTTTCCCAATATTAGAAGAATAAGATGCATTATTTAACAAGTCCTTGCCCCCCAATTAAGGCGTGGCAGTACTTTACTCGATTCCACTTTCTCATGGCGTAGTTGTATGGTCAAAAGCATAAAATCCCAAAACTTGGACGTGTAAGTGTGTCTCTGTATCAACATATTGCAGGAAAACATATAAAATCCTACGTGATTGATAGAGGCACAATCGCTATCGAATCCTAATACTTTTCTACCACAATCAATCGCATCTCTTTCTCAAATTAGAAAAAAAGTCATAATTCAATTGAGAGTCGAGATATATAAGTATTACCATCACAGTCTGCGCCCCTATATGTTTTCCCTTAATCCTCATAAAACCCTACGCCTACGTATACATACTGGAGCTTCTTCCAAAATCTATCCCAACCAAACCCTACGTATATATATAAGTTTGTTTAATCACATGGCTAAGGTTCCTACAATCCCTTTTCTCCTTCTCAGGTTGGTATTTGTTTCTTTAGTTCACACAGATATGAGTTATGGTCGTCCGTATATCTTTGTTTAATTTCGCATAATTTCTTATCAAGTGTGATATATTAAATTATTTTATATTATAAGATTTGTGTCTGATGTTATTTAGGATTTTGTTTATAATTGTTACAGGCGATGGTATAAGGCTGCAGCTGAGAGTGTAAGAGGGCAGAAGGCGGCAGCGACCACAGTGAGGACAAGAACAACAGAATCCGGCAGTAGAACTTTTAATAATACTGCAGCAAACTATGACGACTAAAGGAAGCGTTTTGGATGAGAAACCTGAACACGGGGAACTGGATTCCGGAGACTCATTTTGAAGAGGTTCATGTTACAGCGAGGGAGAAGCTCCTCCGTAATCCCAATAACAAAAACAAACTTTGAAATGTGATATATTTGCTGTGGCATATATACATATATTGCTGTACTGTACTTGGAAAAGAAGTTACAAGTTAGTTTGGTCTCTCTCTCTTCAGAGTGGTCAATCTCATCATCAGATGATTAAACTTTCCTTATAACCCTTTTTATCTATATTGCTTTCAATAGGACTATTCCTATTCCTAAGAAAACCAACTGCCCATACTACCTCCTCTACATTCTTGACAACCCATTTTTGTTTCAGTGGTGTTTTTCAGTGGCATGTTTCGGTCCTCTTCCCCATTACTTAAAAAATGTGAGCCACCGATTCTGGTATAAGATACTATCATTACTGCCTGGCCAACATTCAACGACCCAATTGCAAGAGTGGAGCTCTACCAATTGAGCTATATTCCCCCGAGCCAAGTGGAGCATGCATGAAGGAGTCAAATGCTTCTTCTATTCTTTTCCTTGAGGCAGCTGGCCATAGAGACCTCGCCTGTGAAGTCAAGCATCACAACTACGGTACAACCAATTGGGGAGAGAATCAATAAGTTCCTTTTCCATAGCGATTAATCCTTTCCAAACACCGCATACAACTCTCCGTTGTACTGTGCTCTCCAAGTGTGCTTTTTCCTCCCTTCTTCCTTACCATGGCAAATTTTTTTTGTGAAATAACTCCGATGAGAAAAAAGAAGGTGGCGTTAAGAGACACTCATAGCCCAACCCAAGACACTAGAAGATACTTTTTTCAAACCTACTCCCATTTCAAGTCAAGGGATAGCTAAATAAACACATCTCATTGCACTGATTGAGGGCGTTCGTAGTGATTGAGGGGGTCAAAGAAAAAAAAACAGATAAAAATAAAAGCAATGAGAACCAATTAAAACTGACTTTGGGTTTTTGCTATTTTTTGTAGTCCATTATTCTTCATCGTTTGTTATTTAACAACAAAAAGAAACTTTTTTTAAATGAGGAAAAGTTTGAACTTGGAATGTAGTGGATTGAAGAACTATTAGCTCTGATTGGTCATGGTTAACAAATGACATGTATACTTCAGGAGTCCTAAATCAGAAATATATGATACCTGATCTTTCAAGTATGAGAAAAACTACCGTTTCCAAGTTGATCTAATACCAATTCAGGATGAGCAAAATGATAATAACAAAAGGCTGATTGTGCCTCCTACTCAAGTTGACTTGAAATTCCTAAATGGAAATTGCACAAGTCATGAACCGATGATGAGTAATCATGTTCCTCAAATATCACTTAAATACTTGAATTTTGACATCGTAAATCAAACAATTAAACGATTTCCAATTTAGTTGACCTTTTTGCAACATTGATCTTTAATAGGTGACTTGGAAACTAGACGGTTTCAACCATGAAGTAAGATTGCAAAATAAAAAAGAGAGCCAAGAAGATCCAAGTGAGAAGGTTGCGAACATCCTCTTAGCAGACTCCAATCTTTTAACAACGTGAAGGTCCAGTAACTACAAAAGATTAACACCTGCATCATATCACATAATGGTACAAATTTAACAAAATTCTACCCCTCATTTGAATTTCGGGGAAAAGTTACAAACTGGGAAAATATCACAAGTATAGCTGAATAAGCTCATCGCTGACCACCGACGGAGTTAGTACGCCCAAATCCGTGAAGAGCAGAGTAAGATACTGCGGAGGAGTATAATCACGGGCAGACCTTTCAACTTCAACCTTGGATGGGATGGGTACCCCAAAATCAATGGGATGTAATGCAGGGGCCATGTCTTTCTGGTCCAATGGATAAAGGCGAGCAAACTGGAAAACAACAAATCAAATGTGTGATGTTTTGGGGAGAGTAAATTGTAGCAACGGTCTCTTAACTTTAACTCAATTGGAGCAATGGTTCCTCAACTAAAAATCCATTACCATTGGTCCCTTAACTCATAAAAACATGCAGCTATGGTCCCTCAATTAAAAATCTATTACCATTGGTTCTTCAACTTTAATTCAATTGGAGAAATTGTCCCTCAACTTTATCTCAGTAGTAATGGTCCCTCAAACTTTAACCCAATTGTAGCAATGATTCTTCCAACATAACTCATTTTGATAAAATTCTGACGAAGTTGACGAAAATGACCATAGCTACACGTTTTGATGAGTTGAGCGACCAATGGTAATGAATTTTTAGTTGAAGGACCATTGCTCCAATTGGATTAAAGTTGAGGGACCACTGCTACAATTTAATCTTTGGGGAACTAATAAACAAACATTGATATTTGAATCTACAAATACCTCTGCGAAACTGCAATTTGCTACTCCTAAATCTACTACAAATTTGTACTCCTAAATCACACCACCAATTAGTAAGGCACATCAAGTGCCAGATCATGGATAAAAGGATTATCTTTATAGGTATCGCATTATTTGCTAACTATTACGTTTCCTAATATATGATTTCGTTCACTAGATATAGTGTAGAAAACATTTTGGCATACCTTGTAGCTTTCAGCAGCCACATAAACCGGTTTGTTCATGCTGTGTGCCACTAAGGCAATTTGAAATGTTCCCATCATATTGATGATACCTCCACTTTCAACCACTCCATCTGCCCCAACAAATACCATGTCGACCTCATCCATGGTATATGCTGCTGCAGAGTCTATTAGAAGCTTCACAGGAACATCAAGCTTGGCCAGCTCATTTGACAATCGTAATCCTGTTCTGTCTGGTCTTCCCTCTGCAGTTTACAGCATAAAAATTGAATCATATGGGAGACGAGTACAGCAGAACCGCCCATAAGGCAAACATTTCATACTAATCCTACCTGTTACAAACAATTTGAAAGCAAAGATGCAAAGAAACATAATTCAAAGCAAGAATAAAGACAGCTTTTCTATCTGGCCAATCTGTGTGTTGATGTAAAAGAAAAAACAGACCAAGAATCCGAAATCTCTCTATCCCATATAAGAGGTGCCAAGTGGATACAGATTTTAACTTATGTTGTTAAACCTGTCTTACTCCAGTTTATGTGCACACAAACTATAATTCACTGCATGATAAAGAAGAAAACCTGTACAGAAAACTCGAAAGAGTTTGTTGCTCTGTGCCGCAGTCTTTAATACTTCTAGAACAACTCTAGAGAAACCGTGAACCAATATGGTGCAACCATCAAATATAAAGTCTTGACTAAGCACAGCAATGATTCTGCGGGCCTGCAATCTTAGACGAGTGTGACTGAATAACTGGAAGATGACACTGTTAAAGATACATAAAAGAGTTGTGTATTACATCAAAGAGCGACATATTATGTCGTGTACCTTCATAGATATCTCCCCAAACTTCTCTGCACGTTCAATCAAACGAGACTTGGCTGAGTTGAAGTCCTCATACTCTAAAGCCGAAGTTCGAGTAACATACCGGATGAACAGGTCGCATCCAGCAGTCAAAGAAATAGAGGTCGTGTCCCACGACTGAAGTAAAAGGTATATCACATTAATCCTAAAAATCCAGAGTTCTACTTTTCTGCTTGGAAAATATATCAAAGGTCATAACTTTTCTTTTGTTTGAAGGGGAATGAAGATTATAACTTGACATCTCATACGAAGCGGCAACTTGATTTAACAAAGTAACACTTCATGCAAGCTAGATTTACTCTAAATTAAGTTTAAACAATAATATCGTGGCAAGACCTACAAACGAATGAAACCGCAATCCAGACGACGAGACAAGCAAGTTAACAAATCACCAAATCAGAAAATTTTGAGTACCAAATTCAATTGCCCAAAAAACTAACAATGAAATTCAGACAATTTAATTCTAATTAACATAATTTAATTCTGATTAAGATAACAGCATTTACCATAGGACAAACCCTAAATCACTGTAATTCCAAACATATCTATGGTTCTTGATTCAGATATTTTCAGTAAGGCATGGTTAATTTTCAACAATCCATTCATAAAAGCTCAAATCCTGAAAACTGCTTTTCAGTGAAACAAACAGGGCATAGTGGACTCACTTTAAGAGACTCGGAGGCCTTCTTTAGCTCAATTTCGAGCTCCATCATAGTGGTGGCCTCACTGGACCGAATCACAGACGCTAAGGCCCGAATCGCCGCCACGGCCTCCGCCAAATCGGGCTGCTTTCGCCAGCTATTGAACTCCTCGATGACGCTGAAGGGCTTGCCGGAATTAGACCCAGACTTAGCTTCAACCTCGGCGCCGATTTGCCCTTGGTCGTCGGGGTTTCTGCCCACGGCAGCTTGGGCCTGGGCCAGCCAGTCGCTGGTGACGACGCCGTGGTGGGCCGCCCGGGTCTGGTAGTAGGCTGATATCTTAGGGTTAGGGCTCTGCAGAGCGTCAGCCATGGACGAAGGCGGTGGTGGCGGGGAGAGAGTGAGGGAATCGGGTTTCGAGGCCAATACGGCGTCGTTTCGCTCCTGGCCCTGCTTGTCGAGAATGAAGGAGGCTGATCTCCACCACATTAATGCCTACGTGGGTTTCTCGGGAAAATAGGTGAGAAAATAAAAGGAGAATCTGCCGGGGAAAATAGAATTTTCATTCATAAATAACCAAGTCATCATGCAACGACACGCATGATTCCGGCTCTTTATAAGGGTTTGTTTTAGGGGTTTGTTTTAGGGGTGGGCGCAAAGCACCTTCGAATCCGAGCTTGGTGGCGCTAGTGCCTATGTTATGCATTGTACCTGATTGTGTTTTCGGCCCTCATATGGAACCAGTGAGGGATGGGTCTAGTCTACCTCATTTTCTTGGTCAGTTTCTTGATCAGGAAACTCTTGTGTGACTTAGTACTATTTCTCGCCGGCTTAGTGATCCGTCGCAAGCCACTTAGTACTATTTCTCTTTATTTGTAATTGAAATATTTTAAATTCAATTATCGTTAAAACGAATTTGAACCACATTATTGCTAACTCATTATGAGATTTAGTCCAGTCTCTCACCCTTTTAGTATAAATAATATCATTTGTTCAAAAAAAAAAAATATTGATCCGCCACGAAGTTCACAACACAAATTTCTCTCTTCCTCCTTGCTATGATTTTTCAGATTTTTTTTTTAAAACCAATTTTTAGATTTTATTAAAAAAACTCAAATCGAACATTTCGGTTTGGTTTTCAATTTTGGCAAACCCACCAATTTTTTGTTTTGAAACGCATTTGGAATGGGATACAAATACTTAGTGACATGCAAAAGTGTTTCTATTGAGCATAGAAATGGTTTTTGCTCATATAAGCGTCTTTTTGAAGAATCACATGTCTAAATAATTAAATAATTAAAATATTAAAAAAAAAAACCTTAATGTGAAATGTTTATCCAAGAAACACTTTAATTTTTTTATAAATTTATTAAATGTTTATAATAAATACACTTTTAACTTAAGTTCTTTTTGAAGAAGTAATTTTAAACAACTAACTATGCATTCTGGTGCAGGATTGATTCTCAATTATTTTTCTCTCTTCTAATAATTAACTATTTAACACATTAACACTCTCATCGTAAAAAAAATATGCTTCCAAACATGCCATGAGAAAAAACATGGATTGTCGTGTACAAGTTTGCCCATCTTTAATTAGACTTCTTAAATTTCAGGTAGATACTCCAACAACACTGATATTATCCCCACTTAGCCACCTGCTCAATCCGTTAGGTGTGGGGTTTTAATACAAAAGGCTTCGGTATTAGTTAGAGTGAGATAATTCTATATAAATTGCTTGTTCTCAAGCTCTTTGCTCGATGTGGGACAGAGGAATTCCAACAAGACTAGTCCCTTTTCTATATGTAACGATATATAATTACACTAAAGGGAGGAGGAATATCACCTAATTCGATATTCACGAGATTTTAACTTAAAACTGTTCACTTGCAAGTGAAAAGGAAAAACTACAATACCGTAGCATTAAGTGGTGACCCTTTGGTGTTTTGGAACTTCAATGATAAGTTGAATTTGACACAAATTGAGTTGAACAATGTAATTAAGTTATATAGTTGATGACATAATAGTGTCTTAGACCCTTTTTGGAGGGCTAAAATTGGATTGAGATTAGATTCAGTCTAGCTAGATCTGATAAAATCATGTATGGGATGAGTATGTACGAAAGATTTAGGATTTAGGTCAAGCCATGTTCGGTCGGGATCATAAGAGATTTATACAATGTGAGCATGAACTTTAAGGGACCAAGTTACTATGTACTAGCAAAACATGACAAGAGTATGGCACGACACGTTGTCAAGTCTATATTTGATTCCATCCTTTATAAAGCATTTTAATTGGAATAGTCCTATATACCAAACAAGGCCAAAGAAGTGGATATGACACTTTGTCATTGGATTTGGTGTTAATAAGGCAAGGGTAGCCCAATTTAGTGTCTACTTGTCATTCTATTTAGAAATTTGGACTTGAAAATTTTGATTTGTTTCAAGAGCATATTTCTAACTATGATTCATAAGACCAAAAACTTCATTTGGTTTTGAGAACTTGAAACTTATTTTTAGATCTTTGTCAGATATTCAAAGACAAAAAATGCAGATTTTAGAGGCAAGTGTGAATCTTCAAAGCTTGAGAACAAATAAACCCAGATTGCCAACCAGTTCGTAAAATCGAACGAATCTAGTGGTGAAATCAAACAAATCTCTTAGCAAAATGGAACGAATATCGAGTGAAATCAAATGGAGCTCGGGGTGAAATTGAATGGCGTTTGCTATGGAGATCGTCCTCTTAATTTTTTTTTCTATTTACCAGTGAGGGAGAGAGAAAGAGAGAAAAGAGACGACACGGAAATTTGTTTTAGTTACCAGTGAGAGGAGTGAGGGAGAAAGAAGGAAAGAGGTGAGAGAGAGAGGACATGGAGAGAGAAATGTGTGAAAAAGCAGAGAGAGGTTCTCTAAAAACTGTAAATTCTCACTTTTCTGTTTTAAGAAGTAAGGCTATTTATTAAGTTAGTTTTGAGTTGTGTTCTTAAAAAAAATTTACCAAACAAGAATTCTTAATATGACACTCAAAACCTGTTTTTGAGTTTAAAAAGTTGAATTTGAATTGAATACCAAACAAGTCCTTAGCTTTCCCTGAATTTGACAAAAAAAGTGGTTAACAAAAAACCGAAGTAATTGATCAATTTTCACTAACTACAGTTTGAGCATCGTTCTTCTCTTCACTATTTTGGATCATTTACAATATACAATCCTAATTCAATCCTTGATTTTCAAGGAAGAATAAGGTGGAAAAACTAAAAGATCTTCAATATACATATAGACATTACGTCTTGAATTGCTTGATACTGTCGTTGACTTGCTTCCACACTTTCACATTTTACGGTTGATGAGGCCGCACACAACAAGAAGCCCCACGATGAGACTGTGATCTACGAGCGGTTCTACTACCACTGTCAAAACATCTTCTCCTAAAACCACTCCACATGTTGATTGTTTCCTTTTTACCTGTTAAATAAAATACCATTAATTAGTCTCTACATGATATATCATTAACTTATTTCAGTTATATCATTTAGGCTTGAAGCTATTATTGGGGTACTCCAATATTGGTATCATGCACTCATCGCTAATAAAAAAGAATCAGAGAGAGAGAGAGAGAGATGAGCACACGATAAACGATATTCAACAATTCCCAAAATATAAGGATGAGACAGAATTTACCTCTGCAACTGGTCTTCCAAACTTGTCAAGTATCTTGTAGGATGACTTGCTGCTCAAGCTTTCTATTCTGTATTGGTGTGGTTGGTTCTTGTCTAGCCCTACAACAGCCTTACATAGTGACCTTCCTCTACACAACCTAGAGCTTTTTCTTAATTGAAATCCAGGCTTCTTTGGGTTGATCTCTTTACCTGTGGATCTGTAGCCCTCCCAAATCCCAGGTAAATGGAATTTCTGCATACCAAAAGCACCAGTGTCATCAGCAAAATTAAGTCTAGTCTCCAACTCAATGGTGTTATAACTTACAATTATGTAGCTACTATTAGATTATACCTTTCTCCGTATGGTGAATAAGGTTTTGCCTTTCAGATCCATAAGATAAACTTCACCTCTGCATTTGCAGTCATAGTTATCTACGCGATACACAATTTTCCCGTTAGAATCAAAGACGGTGCAGCCATTGCTATTCAGTATGAGAGACTTCATCCACATGGTGAATGTTTCTTGTTTCGAAGTGCAGTATTCGGCAAGGGAGGAGGAGAGTGGTGCCTCAGGGTGAACCTTTGTCATGAACATCACAGAGAAGTTATGTTTTGATGTTTTATTCAGCACCAAGAGGTTTTATATGCTCAACTGCGCATGGATGTACTTAAGAAGCTACACAGAAAAGAAACTAAAATAACTAATTAATTAATGTCTGATGTAAAAAATATTCACTCATTTATTTGATGATAATTTGGATTATGACATTAATTTACTGATTGAGTTTGAAGATATGCATGACAGAATAAAAATTATAATGTCAATTGTATTATATCTTGTGTACTTTTCATCAAGAAATTACTAAAGCACACCCAAAAAGGGTAAATATTATCATTTTTAATACCCCAGTTGTCTTGAGGTCATATGATTAATATTAATCTGATAGAAAGGGTAAATCTACCATTTTTAATAATAAATAATAAGAATCTTATCACTAACTAATCTGCAGCGCGCAGTTCGCCCCATGTCATAAATTAGCAGCTTTCACTGTAGCCGTATGAAGTTCAGCTCATCAGATCACCAACCAAGTGCATGGTTCAATACACACACACACACACGTGTACATATATATGTACATATATATACGTACATGTATATATATATGGTTTGCCAAGAAAAACAATGATAGGTTGACTCTTTTTTATATATTAATGCATGCTCACAGATTGGTGGGGTTTACAGGAAAAATCAAATTAATTTTCCTGAAGTTTTGCTTTGTTGATCTTGATCATGACCCTCTTACTTTTTGCAAATAAAACCACATGCATATGACAGTTTGGCCGAGGGAGTAGGTATGAAATAATCACTAGAATTTCATAGCTAGAAGGTTGGATTTGGCCTGTAATTTGTACTTTTTTTGTGTAATTGGCTGCCTGCAGCCTGCAAGAAGATGACAAACATGAGTGTGGAACGAGTCTGCAGCTTGGAGAAACCTACAATATATGGCATTTATAGCATGCTGCTTAGAACTGTAAATACAAAGAAGAGGGGATACCCGTCCACTAAATTAATCATGTAGAAATGTAGAAACACCCTTCGCATCGGTAACTAATTCAAGTTATAATATATGATAATTCACGTGTTATAATATATATATATATATATATATATATATATATATATATATATATATATATAGTATTGTCAAGAAAACACGTCTTCGAACATGTGTTATAAACAAATGAATTAATTATCACACTAAGACATGCATGTGTTATATAAACGAGTAAATTATTACAATTTCACCAAAAAACAACTCGTGTAGTGAAAGCATATGCAGGAGGTTGAGGTTTTGAGCCTTCATTCTATATATTTAATTCAGAGATGTATAATAAGTGGTGAATTGCCCCCTCCTCTATG